TCGAAAAATGTATTGAATTTGACTAGTTGGCAAGTAACCAATTCGAAAGATCGAAGTGAACTTGATCGCGGTCTGCCTTGACCATTGTATTTATTTTCTTATGGATTTGCTTCTTTTGCAGCATCAAAATGATATAATATGTAGTTCCTTCTGCTCAGTTCTTGGACGATGTACTATTTTTTTACGATACAATTATAATGATTGTTTCGTGAAAATACATATATTTTTAAAAAATTTAATATGTGCAACTTAACCAATTCTTAAATAGCTCCTTATTTAAACTTCATATACTTTTAGACGTGGGCACCCAGGGCCGAAATGTATATGGCCGGTGGGCATTCCCCTTTGAAATCAGTCGCATAATATAATTTCTGAATTTATTGTTTATTTCATGTTTTTTCACAGGCCCACCTAGTTTCATCTCACCGGTCGTTCGTATCACGTTGCGAAGTAGTGGAGTTATCTAAAGAATTATCTGGCAGAGGAGACCATCTCGTGTTATTTCTATTCACGGATACCATGGAAGTCTGCAAGAAAAGATCCAAAGTAAGCATTATGTTGTCACGAATATTTGTGATATGAAGACAATAATATGTCTTTTACGTTTTCTGTATTTAAGTACAAAATTATTACTTTTATCGCGAAAACAATTAAGATCTTGTGAAAAATATTAAGGAAACACTGTCGTGATCTGTGATAGATTATAGTAAGTTATATTTACCAATTCAAAGGAATTTGATGTTGCATGTAAATTTATGTTTATGCTATTTGTTTCAGGCTTTTAATAGTAAAAGTCCTACAAATGGCACTGGCACCATGCGGATAGGCTCAAGCAAGCCTTATAGGCATATATCATTAATGCCCCTCAGTACAGTGAAACGTGTCGTCGATATACGGGAAGCTGAAGGTATGTGCTTGATAGCTTAGATATTCATAAATGAAAGATGAAAAGTACCAATTTATTAATTTTCGTGTACTTTCAACTATTTGTAAATACTTTTTTGCAGACTGTCACAACGTATTCGCGCTAATGTGCCGTAATAATCAAGAGCTCAAAGAAAAGTTGTTCTCTTTCATGATAACTGATGAAACCGTAGACAAGTCACATTTTCTTCGACAACTTTGCAGGCAAATGGCAAACACCGTCTGCAAAGCTGATGCTGTAAGTATAACGTTTTAGTATGGCACATACCAGATTTCTGGGCACTTTCCTCATTGATATTGATGTGGATGAAAGTTTAGATGTATTAATAATAGTTACTTTAATTCTATTTGTATTGTACATATTATTATTTAGTTCGTTTTTCTTTTTGACGTGACAACGTCTTAAATTAGGTTGCGGCTGGGAGTCACTTATGAAAAAGTGTAACGCTCGGTAACGTTACGATGAGTCACCGAACGAGAGAGAGGCCCGCCGAATGCCTTGCGTCTCTCTCCCACTCAACTATGATCGGTCTGCCGCGCGCGCAGCACTAGTTCATTCAATTCCTTGTTCCTATTGTGCAATTTAATTATATTCATATCAATAAGTATTCTACCGAGAAAAAGACGTTGTCACGTAAAATATTCGCCCGTAAAAACGACTTTACAGGCAACCATTTTTTTTAATTATATGTTTTGGTATGAACCAGAAAATGGTCTACATTAGGAACACCCTAGAATCGCTTTGATTAGGTTCCTTTAAAACCGACATGACACACGAAATGGATTTAAAATAATAAAAAGATTTTTTACAACGTTTTAGTTGTTGTGCTTCAAAATAAACTGGTACCAAAAGGTGGGTATACACAGTTGTACTACAAGAAATAAAGAGAATTTTTACTACTGATATTTTCGTAACAGAACAAAGATTACTGAAACTCTCCTAAGTGTAACAATCACTCACTTTGACTTTTATGTATGTTACATACAAACCTTCTTTTTTTAAGTCGGTTACAAAGTATTTCAAACCAATGTTGAAAATTGTTTTCAGGACAAATTCTTAGCGTGCTTAGAGTCGCACCAACTCGATATCGACACGAGCGAGCTCGCGCTGAGCACTCTATCGAAAGTGTCAAAGTTTGCTGCGCGCACCAGAATCAAGGTACGAATTTTCAAAATATCTGTTTATAATAAAATGTAACTTATTTCAATGTTGAATGACATTTTTGCGACAGCTATGAATAGGTTAACAAACACCCGCGCAAAACAAATGGGACTGTAAGCCTCTTAGCTCTCGAAAATCTCTATAAAATAAGTGTAAATGAATAAAGCATGGATTAAATGATACGGATTAGCTTTAGCTTGGACATAGAAATAACATGCACATAACAGTAATGTTGGTAAGTTAAAGAAAATGTAAAAACGCTACATAGCTACATGAAGAAGTTCGTCACAAGCATTTCTATGTAACTAAGGCATGATATTATTGTAGTCTGCAGTCGTTTTGCATTCGATTATGTCAACGTGTTATAACAATCAGTTGTCACACATTCATTTACTACCTGGCTCTCTTTTCAAATAACTCACTTGAGTTTCGTTGTATCGATCTACATGCTGCAGACATTTTGACAAATGTAATGTTAATTAGACGTTATAAATTCTAATATTGACCGATATCTAATTATATCTATCGACCGATATTTTTCGCATTTTTGTTAACATTAATTGCAATAAAAGGAAAATTCACAAAGAATTTTTTTTATTTAGAACTGAATGACCTCTTCATTTCTATTTCTGTAAAGAATTCTAAAACAAGTTTTCAATGAATGTTATGTTAGTATGTAATATATATTGACGCGATTATAGTTCTACGCTGAACAGTCAGTAGCTCAATATATAAATAACAAAATATAACCAAGTACAATGAAAATAACAACTAAATTGGAATTCAATACATAAACCAGAGTAATCGGACTGGCATGTTGTTATTTTGTAACCATGGTCGGTAGTAATGGCCAGTGGGCACGAATAACAGTGTGGTATCCGAAACGTACGTATAGTGTATATATAGTAGCAGTTACGGGTTGAGTGGCAGTTGAGCGCAGTGGCAACGTATTGTGTTGTAGCTGGAGGCGCTGGCGGGGCTGACGGGGCTGCTGCGGCCCGAGCCAGGCTCCGGCCTGCTAGACACATGGGTATTGCGCGCTCACTTACTCGCACAGGTCTGACGCGGCTCTGCCACACTCCTCTCGCTCCGTCCCCGACTAATGATCATCCGCACACTGCTTCCTGTGTATGATAATTTAACATTTCCGTCCCTCGGCATTCTGTTGTACATTTAGATGTGTGTTGGTAGTTTTTTACAAGAGTGTTTGATTACTCTTATACCGGTTCATGTCGCGCATTCGTTCACGATGAAAATTTTATGCAAAGATCGTTTATTACCCGATACGACCCGATACACTTCTATTTGGACACAAATCATTAGCGTTAACACACTCATTATCCGATACTTATTTTGGGTTAAGAAGCATCATTCATTGAACATGAAACATTTCACAATTCTAAGGACGCCACTTACGTGATACTGATGATATGGGTATTGTCAGCTGTTTGGAACACTGCACTCGACTTCAATGAGCTCAGCTGTGGCGTAAGTAGGTGTTGGTTGTGCCGACTGAAGCACAGGAATCAGTGTGCGCGCACAGAAACAATGGGTCGTTGCTTAGCTCAGTGACACTACCATCGTCATATTATGTGCTTACTTAATCAGATGTGTCGTAACTTCCTGCAAATATGTATCTTGCTAAGTAAATACCTCTTCATCGAGGAAAGAGTGAGGTTGACGGAGTGACTGTCATAAGTTAATGCTTAGCTTCAATTCCTCTGTGATTAACTATTTCGTGAGCGTGCCATACCAGTGGTGTTTTAACATTATCATCCATCCACAAGTTCATTGTTTTATAGATTGTACACTTTGATTATATAATGTTTAGATAGAGCGTCATCATATAATAGCAACAAAAATGACGTTCCAAAATTTCTTGCATGGTTGCGTGCGGCTTGTGGTTTACACAGAGCAAAATGATACCAGCTGCGACAAAACTACTCCCATCCAATTTATATCTCTCATAAATGTTTGAGTACATGTATGTACCATTACCATTTAGAAGTAAAATAAAAAAAATGTGTGTGATCTTTAAATTTGATTTTAAAGATTTTTTATTGGATACTTTGTTGATATTTATGTTTCATCATATAAGGAATTTATTTTCCGCGTGAAAAGAATAATTATATATTCATATTAAGACATTTTTAACATAATTTCTATAAAACCAATTTATAAAATATTATAGCAGTTGCACCCTTTCCGTCAAAAAATATAACTCAGTCGATTTAATCATTTCAAAATAACTGTCGAAAATCGAAACGAAACTACTTTTTTAGTCGGTTAGAATAAATAGTTAGAAGGGAATATTGAAAAATAAATTGGCAACACTGATAAAATATGGCGGCAATTAGTGAGGACAAAATCATAAATTGAATAATGTAATTTTTAATTACTTAGAGATGGATATTGGATAAAAGATCTGTTTAGTACTTTTAACCGTCATTTATAATTTTAGTACAATTTTATGGAGCATGTGGCCATCTTTGCAGTATACTTATTTGTATACATATTTATTTTGTAGCGTGGATGCACGTAGTGACGCCTAGGTGACACAATTGCTACTACTCGGCGGGAAAGTGCATTGCAGTGAACAGTTCACTGCAAATTTTTGGGACGCTTTTCGTGAACTGACATTCCATCTAGACATTATATAATCAAAGGTTCTACTATAGTTGTGTTCGTGCTGAATATGGGCATGGTTTTTTTGTGATAAATATAGTACTTTAATCTGTATCAATTTATTGTAATGTGTTATTTTTTTGCAGTTTCAATACTATTACATTTTATTAAAAAAAATAAAAAAAAAGATATTCTTTACTGGCTTGGTTTTCTAAATTAAGTAATTGAATGATTGGTGTACAGGTGGGTCGTGCGTTTTCGTTCAACAAAACGCCGTCGAAACTGAAGCGTGCGATGTCGTCGATGATCTCGCCGTTCGGATCCACCTCCAACCTCACACCCGCCTCGCAGCTCGCACAGATGAGACTCGCTAGCTGTAATAACATCAACGTGAGTATTATATCTAGTACTAAAAATTGCATGTGATGCGATGTGTGGAGTAGAGCAGTGACAGCGTTGTTGTGCAGGAGATGGGCACGAGCGGCGGCGGCGCGGGCGGCGGGGGCGAGGTGCTGGTGGCGCCCCTGTCGGTGCAGCCCACGCGCAAGGCCGCGCCGGGCGCCGCGCTGCGCCGGTTCTGACGCCGCGCGCCGCGCCGCGCCTGACCTCAGCCGCCGCCCTGATCGGGCTGTATTGGAATTGTGCAACTTTACTAAATTATTCGAAAGTATTATGAGTTGCAGTCGCCGGCCTATCGAGATCGAATACGAGTGTCAGTCGTTAATCAAAGTGTGCTTAGATGTTGTCATAAATTCATAACTGTACAAGTTTTTGTCGTAAATGTGATATCGGGCAGTGTGTTCGGTAGCTACCAGTGAAACTCCACTATTTATGAATCTTGTAATTTTATGAAGGTGTATAATTAAATTAACTATTTTCATTATAAACTACGGCCTATTCGTGGCTTAGCCAACTTGCCAAAAAGCGTTCACATCAACAAATCAATGTATAACCAAGGTCAACCTGATTTATATTTTTATTAAGTTTATCAACATTACTACAACCACGTTTTTTGCACAAATAATAGTAATAGTAAGTTTAGTTCAAATAATGGTATCCATTTTAACCTATCAAATAAAATATCCTGTTGATTTGTTGATAAGTGATATTTTTTGAGGTTAAATATTAAAAATATAGCCATAAAACATTAATTATATACATACGATGCAATCGATGGCCTAAGTTTAGCTAACTTACGAATTTATTCATCTGTCAACATGTTACAGTAAACATTACTGATATTATTGAGATTTAGTTTTGAAAATAATTTGTACATATGTGATATTTTAAATATATTGTGAAATAGATCATAGCAAACACTAGATCATAGTAGGATACCCATGATATCAATCTGATGCTGATTCAAAGCTTCCTTAAAGTGAATTGTTATTTGGTAATGGACAATGAATTACTCAAACGTTTGAATCGTTCAGGATGGGTAGATAGGTGTTGTAAATAGTGTACGGAACATGAGCAGCTTATGTAAACTAGGCGCCCTCGAATGTATCTTTAAATATATTAATTCGCGTCTATAAGTTTTATGAGAGTCTCACCTAGGCTACTATCATCAATCATGTGTACACATGTTGCTACATTGTACAAAAGAACAATATTTATAATATTTTAAATGATTGATAAAATAAACATTTATTTTCAATCAATTGTGTTTGTTGTTTCTTGGAAACCTTTTCACCTATAAGACGTCACAAAAAATATTTTTTACATTCATTATATTTTTATATCGTTACTTATTAATACATGTCATAATGTAAGATACGTATATACAATTGATCAGCTGGCTTGTGGTGGGTGGTGCAGGAACGCGTAAGCGTTGTTAGCCGCGCGTAGCGGTATCGCTAACACCAAGAACACCATTGGAACGGCTGCTAGGCACATATATTGAGTTGGCATTTCTGCTCCTGATAGTCTTGATAGTTTTATAGCGATAGTGATCTGTAAATAATATTTTTTTTTTGAACAATACAAACACATATTTATATGTTTTGGAAAAGAAAATTTACATTCATACCAGTGTTACAAAAGGGACAATTTGCCATTGTATTCCTATACGTGACGAGCACGTATTATCTTCTGTAGCCACATTCATGTCAGATTGGAAATCATGACTGCGATATACGTACAACAGGCCGATCAGTTCTAGTAGTACCACAAGCGGCGTCCCTATGCCTGTCATAATTGCATCCACACTGTCCAAAAACGCTATGCCACCCTGTATAAAAAAAAAGTATTACCAAATCAAACTATGGCACTCCCACATTATTGTAAATTAATACTCACATTTGTTGCATAAATCATACTAAGTAACATACAAGAAAGTATCAGGGCAGCTACTACAAGTTGTTCCTTAAATCTGCGAAATAATAAAAAAATATTTTCAGTTGAAAATTAGTATTGTCTGTCATTAAATTTTTTTTATGGATTTTTTTTGTTTATTGAGGGGGGAAAATCATTGAATGACTGCTCCCGTCTGGGTGAGGCCGAAGGGAGTGTCAGACTCTTACTGACTAAAAACCACCGTGTGCGTTACCCAGGCCAGATGTTGTCGAAAATGGTTATTTGAATCTTATAGATAATTAGTTGTGAGACTTTTGTAATTGTTGCGCACATTTTTAAATTTGTTGCGCTTATAGTTTTTTAATTATTTCACAAAAACATTTCCTGCTGGGGTAACGTTACCCCAGCCAGACCTTTTTCTTTCTAATGGGAATATTTAAATAATTACTAGCTATAAAATTAGTTGTCTAGATGAAGTAAATGTTGTGCCGTTATTGCCGTTGCGAAGTTATTCGAGATTATGCTGCGGTAACGTTTTGGATTTTGCTAGATCGTTGAAATGGTTAAGCGGATTCTTATCATATTTGGTACATGGCTTCGTATTAATTAGATCAAATTTGTTGTGCAATAAAAAAACCAAAATAATACATAGCTTAAAAGTTATTTCATGAAGATCATTCCACAGTTTTGCTGTGCGAGGCAGGAAGCTACGTGAGAAGCGCACAGTTGTGGCCTGCCAACCATCTATATGATAGGAATGCATATGCTGTCGTGAGGGTCGATTTGCAGCTATAAAGCGTCAGTTATACTTACACTAATTTTACTCTGTATTCAAATATAGTATGCAGCGCTGTCTTCAATAACATAAACGTCACTGTTAAGTAAGAAAATGTCAAACCACCGAATACTAGAGTTGTCCTGAAATTAACACACAGATACATAATTAATATAAATACATACATAGTAGGTATAAACTTGAAAACAATAAGTTGGTGATCTATAACTTACACCAGATGTGAGTAATTACCCAGTGATGTACATTTAGAGTACATAGGTATAATCCATGTAGTTCCTGTCGAACAACAAAATAGAACAGACAGAGACTTATAAAAATATGAGTTTTAGGATCGTAGTAAATATTTGTGTGCATATGTAATCATACCTTCTCTCATGGTATAGGTAGTGGTTGAATTCAGTTGCATGTAGTCAATAAATGCGCACATGGCAGCCCCGCCCGAGTGGAGGCCCATCAGCATTAGAACTATTACGGAATGCCACACGTTCTCGTTGTTGAAATCCGGGTCTATGTGGCCATTAGCTACAACAAAAGATTTACCAGCCTACTTGTATTTTCCAAATTAAATATTGCAAGTCTAGTACTTAACTATCTGAAAATGACTAATCATATTTGAGATCACAGACGCCTCCAATTCGTCCAACACATCACAAAGGTTTTCGTGGAAAATGGATAGATTTCACCAGCTGGTCGACTGATAGTAATTTAACATTACAGTTTAGTTTTTCGCCCTGAGAAAGGTCTCAATAACAAATGAAAAACAACTAGGAGAATATGAGAACTGCAAGTCTACAACCCTTTTGAAAATTGCACATACGTATTTTATTCAGTAGAAACGTACCAAAGTGATTTAATGCTTTTCCATGTATCAGTTCAGTCCCAACACCAAGAGAATGAGTATATAGTGAAACTTCCAAAGCATCTGCTACAGCCTGTAATATCAAAGTGAATGTTCGAGGTAACTCGAGTAATTTAAAATTTCGAAGTTTTTTTTTTTTGCAATTTACAGCTCAATATAGCAACTATGCTACCTACTAAGGTATGATGATAAAAGATATATTCGCGGAAGATTCGCTGTAGCGAAACATAGGTATATGTTTACACAGTTATACTTTTTAAAACCATCCACATAACTGCAATTTGGAGAAGGTCTACAACGTCAAGTTCTTACTAAAATGGTACATTGTAGAACGTCACTAAATTGCGGAGCTATGTGGATGGTTGTAACAAGTATGGTTATATACATACATATATCTCACTACTGCGAATATATATGTTATCATCATAGTATTCGATTTCGAGCTGTAAATTGCAAAACACTTACGAAAATTTAAATTTCGCGGGTTACTTTGGACCATTGCGCTTAGACTGAGATATACCTATAATCTAAGGATGTACGTATAAAAAATATTAGAAAATTGTATAGAATACACGATGTTACAAATCAGAAGTACGTACTGCTATTATTTCATTGCTACCGAGTTTAACCGATCTTCGAAAAGTTTTCGTCCATGACAGGTTAGTAGCAGCATATACCACAAAGATTGTAGTCCACACAGTTGGTACCATTATAAACCAAGGCTTAATATTGTTCCAAATAAGCTAAAACTAAGAAAATACAGACAAAACCGAGGTATTACGTTAAACAATCACATTATTACAATATTAATTGTTTGTGTCCGTGTTCTTAAAGAAACAAATACCTAGGTATGTACTACGGAGTGATCTATTTATACAAGGTGACTTGTAACTCGTCGTATTCCTTCCCGGTGATAATACAACATATTTTCTACAAAATTAAGGCCTGAGGTCTCTGGTCTGAAAGTGGCTAGTTTCTGAGATATTCAACAGTTTCGGTTTTTGTGAAAAAATCCGGATCGTCCTACAAAAACATTAATAAATAAAAACTACTGGTTTGATTCAATTGTTTTTACATTGAACAAAATTTTGTAAATAACTATGTTTTTGAAATTGCCTGTTTTCCTTTACACTTAACTCATTTATTAAATCATTTTTGAAAATTTTATAATTATATTTAATTAAGTGTTTCTGGGTAGCTAATAAACTAAGGAAGTTTTTCTAGTTTGTACGCTTAGTGTAATATATTTTTTTAAGCTAAATGCTGTTTTCTATGGACCAAATAAGTGACTCAAAACAAAATTTGTTATTAATTTACTTGCTATTTTAATACAAATGATATTTCTGCCAGTAAATATTAATATTAATTAACGTTTATTGATGTATTGGCAACAAATTAAAACTAAAATCACTTATATCAAACCTGCAGTTTTTTATTTATTGAAGTTTTTGTAGTTCGTTCAGGATTTTTTCACCATAGCCGGAAATGTTGAATATCTCAGAAACTAGTCACTTTCGGACCAGAGAGCTCGAGGCTAATTTTGTAGGAAATTTGTTGTATTATCACCTCCCAAGAGGTATACGTCGAGTTACAAGTCACCCTAAAGGGTAGTCTAAAGTTGAGTCTCGCTAAAACTCCAGAATGGCTGAACGATTTGGCTAATTTTGGACTTGAAATGTTCGTGGAAGACCAAGGAAGGTTTAAAAGGTGAGGAAAATACTTATTTTTAGGCGGTTTGAAGTTTGCCGGATCAGATAGTATGTAATAATTACTACTCATGAACTAGAGTTAGTAAAACGAATTATGATTCATGACTACGAATGATTACTTACTCTACTGTAATTAAATTTTTCCATTATCATTATTAGCCATAGAATAAGCCAAGCGAAAATAATAATCACCGCGAGAGGCAGATTGAACCTCCCTAATCTGTTTACTGTACGATATTGTACCACTTCGACGCTGGAATATATTATGAGTGTTATAATGAAATCCATTGAATATTATGATTTGTTTTATGTATTTGTTTTATAAATAGATATAAAACAAATACAGTACTTACTTATTGAAACTTACTAAAAAAAATTATAGGCAGGAGTGCTGTAAACACCAGGATACCGCCCGATGTATGTTTCATTGCACACTCCAATTTTAGTTTCAAATTTGTACTTAGACCTACGAAAATAATTTTCTTTTAATAGAAGCGTTGCCTTAAAATCTTCAATAAATAAAATACAACGGACAACCGCCAATGTTACATTCAGTCAAAAAAGTATCGGGAATGGATGTTTTGTTTATGGTTCCAAATTCAATTTTTTGTTTTTTTGTAGTTGTTAAATTGGCATTGACACAACTGTTTTCCATTTTGGAGCGGAGTTTGAGTTGCATCCGTTATTAATAAAATATACAGTGCTGGTTTTAGTCATATCATATCACAGTGTGTATTACAAATTTCATAATGGACAAAAAATATCGAACAAAGAGTTTGTCTTAAATTTTGCATCGCCAATGGAATTTCGTGTTCGGAGTCGCTGAAAATGTTACTGAAGGCTTACGGTGAATCGACTTTATCAAAAACTCGTGCTTATGAATGGTCCAAAGCGTTCAATAGCGGTCGAGATGTGATGGAAGATTTGCCTCGCTCTGGTAGGCCGTCAACGTCTGCAACTAATTAACATCGCAAAAGTGAAGGAAATAGTGACTGAAAATCCCTATTTAACTCTGAGAGAGATAGCCGCCGAACTTTCTGTATCTCACGGTCGATCCGTATCATTTTACCTAATCATTTGGGTATGAAACATGTTGCTGCTCGGCTAGTCCCAAAAGATCTGAATTATCTCCAAAAACTCAATCACATGAAAGTCGCTGAAGAGATGCTAGAACATTAGTTGTTACTGGTGACGAGACGTGGGTGAGTTTGACATGCAAATTAGTCAACAAGCTTCGGAGTGGCGCCTTCCAACTGAACCGAAACCGAAAAAACCACGCCAAAGTCGATCAAAAGTCAAAGTCATGTTGACTGTTTTCTTTGACTATCGCGGTGTTGTGCACTCTGAATTCTTACCGGAAGGTCGAACGGCAAATAAAGAATATTATTTGAGCGTTATGCGGCGTTTAAGAGAGCAAATGCGTCGAAAAAGGCCAGATTTGTGGAAAGAAAATTCTTGGATCTTGCACCACAACAATGCGCCTTCGGATAAAGCTATCATTGTGAACGAATTTTTGATCAAACACTCAATAAATACCATTCAGCAACCACCATATTCACCAGATATGGCTCCTGCTGACTGTTTTCTTTTCCTAAACTCAAATTACCACTTCGTGGCACCCTTTTTCAATCGATAGAAGACATAGAGAATTCGCGGCGAGAACTGAACTCAATTCCAGAAGCAGCATTTAAAAAATGTTTTGATGAATGGATTATTCGTTAGCGCAAGTGTATCGTTTCTAAAGGAGCATACTTTAAAGGTGATAAAATAAATTTGGAACAGACATTTTGTGTATTATTGATCTTTTCCCGGTACTTTCTTGACAGAGTAGTACATCTGAAATTCAAGTTATTGCTATATGTAGGGTATACGTAATATGCTGTACCTGAAATAGGTGGCATTCCGCCAGGATTTAGGTCTTATTCCAACATTGTCTGTCTCGTTATAAGTGTCTTCGGGTATTATTTTGGATTTTAACTAAAACAATAATAATGGTAAGTCAATAAGTAATAGTGTATATACCTCAATCACCATGCATTCTGATGTAGGCATCCACGGCAGGACAGTAGACTATGCAACGCCAATTGCTACAATTCTTACATATCTACTTATTTCGTTTCCTTAACAGTTATGGGTACCATTAATTAAAAGTGGAATATATCGCAATATATGCGATAAAATATTGTTTTAACTTCTTTTAAAGTACATATGTGCCTAAATGGCACTGACTCACCCCACGTATAGCATAAAATTTTAAATTCTTGAACTCTGGATCATATGGCTTGAAATTGAAGTCGCTGAAACGAACGTTATTAGGTACATGATTAGTTAGACTTGTATTTGAGTTCACTGTTTTACGAGATATACTTATAGGTGTAATCAGTTACGTTACAGGCTCGATGTAGGTGGTCAGATGGATTCTATCAATAGATATACATTACACACGTACTTACATATATCTACTTCCATTTTAGACATGATTCTATATAAATAATATGTTGGTACTGTATAAACTGGGACAAGGCCAGAAAAAAGAAAATTATTGGTGAACTTGCGCTTACCGACAGTACGTGAAGGGTAATTTGGAATCCGCAACAGAATGCATCACATATACTGCGGCTATGGCTGCCATGGTACAGCAACTGATAGCGCGCACTATTGCATTTATACACATTGCTATACCAATACCTGTATGAACAAGAGGGATTCATAACTTTTGATAATTCAAGACATGAAAATAATCATCAAAAGCACAATCTAAAATTATGGAAAAACGGCGTCGTCTAACATGTCACATTTTTTCGCATCAAGTTTTCTTGTGCGAACTGCGAACCGCTAAGGAATTGAATTCAATGCCGGAATCTTTGTTTCCTGAGAAATACAACTTGGATGTCTTTAACCTTTCGTGTGTCTAAGACGTGGATCCACGCGAGACACAATGTATTTTCTATTGTGTCCCATATCGGTGCATTCAAAATGTTAAATCCATAGCGAACAAGTTGCTCATAGACGTGCCTCCATCGTTGGCCACATCATCGCTTACCACCAAGCGAGATGGTGGCCAAACGTCCACATATCAAATATAAAAAACGTAGGTTGCCTAATTAGAACACCAAACCCCTTAACGAACTGAAAAACGCATTGTTAGTAGTTGCGTGGAAGGTCGCCATATGCGGCCTGGCTCTGTCGGAATGCGATTGATTTAGTCAGAAACTTTGGAACTCACTCTCACCTCACCCAGGGCACAAGTCATTTGATGATTGTCATCTTAACAAAAAGGGCCCCAAAGTAAGAAATATATGTATAATATGTAGTAAGCTAATCTAATCTACTTAATCTGGAAATGATCTAATTTTACTTACCATCAAACATAGGAAGAATCCGGAAAGCACGACCAGGTCCGCTGATACTCCATTGTCCAAGGTACACTTCAAAATGTCGCAATGGGTTCGCGAGACCCAGTACAGCTCCAGTGAAAAATACAACAGAGAGAACTAAAATGTGAAATAATATACATTATTACGATGATTAAACTGTCAAACACCAAGCGGTCACCGGTGACCGCAACCTATTGTTCTATAATTGTGTCTACAAAACCGGTACTCGACGAGTTAAGGAGGAAATATACGAGGAACGGATAGTTTTTTTAACACTAAGATTTTGTCCTGTATCCTGAGTGTATTTAGGTATAAACACTGTACAACAATTTGTGGATTACACAAAGATTTGTTCCATGCGGGAATCGAACCCGCTACACGTTGGAACGGATAGAGGAGCCTGGGCACAGGCCTGAGGCCCCGAGTGGTAAAGCCAGTACTGTTCGTAGGGTGTTTTTTTGCGTAAAGTAGCATTCTTTATTTTAAAAATACAATACCTACTTATGTATATAGTTTTAAATATTTTATTGTATTGAAAAGCTAATTGACCTAAAGAAAAAAAAATCCCTTATTAATTATTACGGTTATAAAGCGTACTTTGTGATAGGTTTATTAAGTAAACATTATTATACAATACTCATTTTCAAACTTCTTAATAGATTTCAATGAAAAATGTTAACTTATGATATATAAAAGAGCTGAGCAACTTACACAACCCATCTGTGAGAGCTGAGGCTGGTATTCTACAGTGCATAGTCATCATAGCGCTGAGTGCTAGCGAACCGAGGCGTAGTCGACGACGGCCTAGGAGCCGATTCTGAGTGCTACGGTTCGTCACATTGTTCACGTCCGTGATATGAGAGGTCGACCATACTACCGACCATTGACTTTGCTATTTAAGCAACATTAACAATATTTATATGATCATGACACTGAATTGGTAAGTGAATAAAAATAATAACATGCATATTATATAAAACACAATCGGATGACTTTGTTAAATAATATATGAAAATTCATACCAAATCACGATTATCAAATGTAAGTATAGTTTCCAGTGAGTGTTCATGGTGGGGCCTACCCGAAGAAGTCATGTTTACTGTAAATTTAATTTCTTCCTCAAAAATATTGAATAAGATATCCAAACTAAAATTTTATGTATTCAATGTATTGCCTCGTTTTGTCAAAGTGGTATTGTGACAGTCCGTGACAAATTGTAACACAAATAGAGCGTGCAAAGTGAAAAGGTAAGAATGCATATAACAATCAACTTGACTCTATTGTGTGTATCTTGAGAACTTGAGTAAGATGATTAAAATGAAAATATAAATAACTAGCTGTTCTGCCATCGCAGAATAATGACTTCAGGCATTTGGACTTATGAAGGCACATTATGGCTGTAACAAATGTCATCAGAATAGATTACGTCGACCCTATATCTAGTTGTTATTGTTGATCGAAGGAAATGATGAAGATTTTACCTGTACCCGGTTCCGTAATAAAAGCCATTCTAAGTCCTCTCCCGAATAACAAACCAAATAATTACAGACGTTCGGGGAGCAGCATTCTACAAAACTATCGGTGACCTAACTGCGCTCGCCAACCCGCCTGCCAAGCATGGCGAGTATTGGCAAATCCCCCCAATAGACTGCAAAGATGAAACTAGGCCCCCAGTCTCCGGCAGTCCCGCCGTTCCTAGTCAGGGTAACGGCGGGACACGGGGTGCTAAGAATCCCCGGAGGTGGAGAAAAGGCTACCACCCCTGACGACAAATGGCCCTGGTAACACACAATGTTCGCACTTTGAGGACAGACGAGAAGATTGTTGAGCTGGAAGAGGAATTGGGTAGGTTGCACTGGAGTATTGTGGGGTTGCCACAAGTCCGACGAGAGGGCGAGGACAAGATAACCCTTGGGTCCGGCAACCTATTCTACTACCGGGAGGGCGACCAACTGTCACAAGGTGGTGTCGGGTTTCTCGGCCACAGGTCCCTCGTCAACAACATTGTTACCATCGGAAGTGTGTCGAGCAGAGTGGCGTACCTGATACTCAGAGTATCCAACAGATACTCGATGAAGGTCATCCAGGTTTATGCACCGACTTCGACACACCCAGATGAGGAAGTTGAGATTATGTATGAGGACATTAGTAGGGCCATACATACCAATAAAACCTACTTCATTGTTGTTATGGGGGACTTCAACGCGAAACTGGGAACTCGAGGCGATAACGAGCTGAGAGTGGGGCAAATTGTATATGGGTAACGGAACCATAGGGGACAGAGACTGGCCGAATTCCTGGAGAGGAGGACCTCTTTGCGATGAATTCATTTTTCCAGAATCCGTCTCACAGGATATGGCCTGGATGAACCCGGACGGTTCCACGAAAAATGTGATCGACTTTATCATGACTACAAAGCGACAGATATTCAATGATGTCTCTGTGATCCATAAGGTAAAAACCGGTAGCGATCACCGACTGGTCAGAGGCACATTGAATATCAATGTTAAGTTGGAAAGATCCCGTCTGATTAAGTCCACGGTCCGACTTTCAAATGCACATATCGAGAGCTTTCAGATCGAGCTATCAAATCGTTTTAAGTGCCTGGAGAATAGCGAGACAGTCAGCGAGGATATCCCGGACATCAGCCTATACGAGATTAGAATGGCCCTCAAGCAGCTTAAGAACAACAAGGCGCCGGGCGAAGACGGAATCACATCAGAGCTTCTGAAAACGGGCGGAACGCCGGTACTGAGAGTCCTTCAGAAGCTCTTCAACTCCGTCATATTCGAAGGAGTAACGCCGGCGGCATGGGGCAGAGGTGTGGTGGTGCTGTTCTTCAAGAAAAGAGATAATACTCTATTGAAAAATTACAGACCCATCTCACTTCTGAGCCATGTCTACAAGCTGTTTTCGAGGGTCATTACGAATCGTCTCACACGTAGGTTCGATGACTTTCAGCCTCCTGAACAAACCGGTTTCCCGAAAGGCTATAGCACCATAGACCACATCCACACGCTGCGGCTAGTTATACAGAAGACCGAGGAGTATAACTTGTCACTATGCTTAGCGTTAGCGTTAGCGTTTGTGGACTATGAGAAGGCTTTTGATTCGATCGAGACTTTTTTTTAAGGGGGGAAAATCATCGAATGACCTCTCCCGCCTGGGTTAGGCGGGAGGGAGTGTCAGACTCTTACTGACTAAAAACCATCCCGTTCCTTCTCCTGCACGTCGAGCCTGAGCCCCGGTTACCCGTTAGGTTCTCCGCGACGCGAATCCGGGCATCGACCCTGTTGGGCCCCATCTGTGGTGGTCTGATGGCCCTTTGAGGCGCGCGCGGAACGCGACGCGCCGTACACTCGGGTCTGTTTCTGGTCGGACGGGGAGCCACCCATGCTCGCCGTACGCAGGCCCGCGCTTACGGTGGATGGAGATCATCCCGCGATCCCCGACGCCCGGTGTGTCCTTCACGATGGCTGGGTTGCGAGGAGGCAGCGCTTCGCTGCCTCACACGTCCCGCCTCCTCTTAAGCTAGCATTACTGCTTCGCAAAAGGAGGAGACGGCATCCCCGAGACTTGAGCAGTGTTAAGATCTCTCCAGCGTTGCCATATTCACTATCACTATACCCGATATCAGTTGGAAGCTCTACCCTCGAAATTGTTGACGAATATATATACCTACGACAATTGATCCAGCTATGTAGGTCCAATTTCGAGAAGGATGTCAATCGTCGAATCCAACTTGGATGAGCAGCGTTCGGGAAACTACGCAACATCTTCTTGTCCAACATATCTCAGTGCCTTAAGACGAAAGTCTATAATTAGTGTGTGTTACCAGTGATGAACTATGGAACTGAAACGTGGTTTCTCACTGTGGGCCTTATAAAGAAGTTCAAGGTCGCTCAGCGTGCTATGGAAAAGGCTATTAATAACCTTCCATCCATATCAAAAGTCCTCATTAGAAATAGATTTTTCAACCAACTGTATAAAAATAGAAAATGTTAAAGATTTCACACTATTAGGAATAACCGTAGACACAAATTTAAACTGGAAGACTCATGTAAAAAATATCCGAGCAAAAACATCAAGATTCGCCTATGCTTTCCGGGAAATCAAAAAGACCACTGACTTTCAGACAACATTATCCACTTACTATGCCTACGCATATGCGTGGCTTAGCTACGGAATTATTTTGTGGGGAAATAGCATAGACACACCTTCTCTTTTCACTCTTCAAAAAAAACTTATCCGTATCCTAACTAATATAGACCAAACTGATAGTTGTCAACCCTACTTTAAAAAACATCAAATACTTACCTTACCATGCATCTACATTCTAGAAATATGTAAATTTGTGAGAAACAATATTGCCTTTTTTACAAAACGTGGAGACAAACATGCAAACAGATCACTAAGACATAAAAACCGACTAATGTTACCTACTTCTAATATGAGCCTACATTCCAATAGTCCGTATGTAATGTCTATAAAAATATATAATAAGCTACCAGAAACCCTAAAGGAAGAATCCAGAAATATAAAATTTACTAATAAATAAAAACAAATACCTACTCGAGGAAATACATTCTACATGCAAAGGAAGAGGGCACTGTAACGATAAAACATCTGCCAGGATAGAAAAAAATATATAATATCGTGGTTGGTTTGAAGTCTTCATAAATAAAGTATATTATAATATTAAAGAATATATTAATGATAAATATTTAAAATAAATACTGTAATTAAAAATTAAATATATGTACGACATATATAATATTAATGATTAAATCACCTATTACAATACACATATTTAAATATATAACGAAAAAAATTATTAAAATAAATGTTTAATATATAAATATATAAACCTACATAGAATATATAAGTACATTTATAAACATTTTCATAAATAATACTAATAGCATTACAAAATAAATTGAACAAAACAACTACTTATAACTAGTAATAAAAAATCTGCGATACATAATCTAAATAAAATTAGCGTCCTCCTCTCTTCTACGTTGCCGTGCCCTACAGGGTCCATACTGTACTATATTATTATGTAACACCTTTTAAACATATGGAGTGCAATAAACGTATTGAGTATTGAGTATTGGGCTATGCTCGGAGTTTCTTTGCGAGATCGGATAAAAAACGAGGAAATCCGCTAACGAACAAAGGTCGCCGACATAGCCCAGCGGACTAGCTGGCAGGCAGGCACATAGCGCAGAGAACCGATGGCCGTTGGGGCAGAAAGGTTCTCGAGTGGAGGCAACGTACCGGCAAGCGCAGCGAAGGACGTCCATCCGCAAGGTGGACAGACGACCTCATTAAGGTCGCAGGGAACCGCTGGATGCAGGTCGCTTCCAACCGGCTATCTGGAAGTCATTGGGGGAGCCTATGTTCAGTAGTGGACGTCCTGTGGCTGATATGATGATGATGATACTCTGGTATTGCCTGGTTTATACCGGCGCGAACTTCCTATTCCATATTTATAGGTGAAAAAGTAATTCTTGTGGCAATACTTAGTTAGTCATATGATATCGGGGACTTTCATTTGATTGTCCTTTAGGACTTTAGTACATCACTTTGCTCTATTGTGTATATTACAATAATCGGTAGCTTTGTGGTAGTTTTTTCATCATCGGGCTACTTTATCGAAATTTGCAGCCGGTTCCTTTTTTTCTCTTTATTCAATATAGCCTATGTTCGTCAGGGATAATGTAGGATTTCAATGGTCAAATAATTTCGAATCGGTCCAGTAGTTTCGGAGCCTTTTCAATTCAAACAAGCATTAAAATCAAATCTTTCCTCTTTAAAATATTAGCGTAGATGTGGTTAACCTCCGCCTTTGACGGTCCCAAGCCCGTATGTGAAAGGAGGAGGGTTGGTTGAGGAGAAAAACACCCTGCCAGCTACAAGGGATGCAAAATTTACAAGCAATATAAAGAAAGAATCCTAAAAGTCGCTTCTAAACCCCAACAAAAACAACCAATAATGAGCCTTGACAAAAACAAAATATATAATTACAAACCACAATATCAATTTAAACAAACAAATTCAAGCAATACCTATGCTGAAATTACTAAAACTGGACAACAAACGTGTACTCTACCTGTACAAAAAAATAACACTCCATATAACGTGACTAACAGGGATTCCAATAATTTCACTAATATCATGGAGACTATGCTAGAAAACCTACAGCATACATTGATTACAATAGTGGAAAAAATGATGGACAAAATGTTGGACAGCATGGTTCAGTTAGTCAGCAGCCTTTTAAAAAAATGATCCAGAACCTCCGAGTAGTCACTTGGAATGCCAATGGCTTGACGGACAGACGTCAAGAAATGGAAATATTCCTTGAAATGGAGAAGATTGACTTAGCACTGGTCTTAGAAACTAGGTTCACATCTAAGTCTCACATAGCTTTTAATAACTACAAAATCTATGCAACAAACCATCCCTCCGGAAACAGCCACGGAGGAAGTGCAGTTATCATTAAAAATAATATCAAACACTATTTCATGGAAGAATATCGCACAGAGAAATTCAGGCCACGTCCATAGTTGTCCTAGAAAAACACATTGAGACAGTTTTCTCTGCTGTCTACTGTCCTCCGAGGCATACAATCACAGTTCAAGATTTCAAAGATTACTTCTCTACTCTTGGTACAAGGTTTGTAAGTGCTGGAGACTGGAATGCA